CCCCATATGAATGCATAAGCAAGCTTGTTCAAGCTATTGCATTTATTAGTACAACATCTTACCTTGAGTTGCAATGTAGTGGCTTGGTCTCTGGTAGCCCTAAAATAGGAGAATGAACTTGTTATCATATTGCATCAGTATCAAAAATAAATGAATGAAGGCATAAAAAGATGCAGACAACCACCTGTTAAGATTAAGTTATAGTAATAAGTCCAGACATGAGTAGTGAACACATAGCTCACTTCTCAAACCTATATTATCTGAAAGGTAAGCATAAAACAAAATTAAATATTTTAAAGGCTCTGATTAAAATATACATTGTATAATTAATTTTGTTTGCTACAGAATAACCTCAGATTTTGTTTGGTTTCACTAAAACGTTTATGCCTTCATGTTTATCTTTAGTCATTCATTCCTGGTAAAATTGTGTTTAAAAATATTTATTCTTACTTTATCATTCAAAAGTACAACACACTGCATTACAAATGGACGAGGACATATTAGAACCATAAAAAGAAAAATAACAGAACATTCCAATGTTAGAGCTGGACAATGCATGTGTGCATCAAATCAAAGCCCTGCTGAGATTTTTTTTTTTTTAGAGAGTATTCCTGTCTTGTAACATGTTCAGGAATCTGCAAAAACTATTCTGTGTGTGCTGATAATGTTAATCTACACACACATAATTATAGGTACACACATATATAGGGAAAGAGGAGTTTTTCAAAAGTGCATTTCATCCTGAACAAAAAACTGAGCACAGTGTGCCCAAAACTGGGTAAACATTTAATTTTATTGCAATAAATTATTCCTCACAAGGAATTCATTGTTAGTTGCTGTCAAATGGCTTGACTTAAAACAGACCGTGAGTTGAAAAATTATTGATGGTAAGACAAGGTTAAGTTTTGAATCAGTTGTGTATTTACCAAACAACTCCAGTAAAAGAGTCTGTGGTAAATTTGTCCCACAGTTTGATGTGGACCACTCAGTACCTATGTGCACTGATATCTCCAATCTAAAATTTAATAGTGTGTGCTTCACAACATTGCAAATTGTGAAGATTTCTACTTCTTAATTTGCCAACATAGCATAAGGTTTTATGGAAAACCTTTTCCTATATTTTACAAGTGAATGCTTATAAAATAACCTTCTGTTTTTAAAAATAATCTTGTTTTATGAAATATTACTAATTACAGAAGATATCTCTTAAGTATAATAAACTAAATAGGAGAGGGAAATTATAACATGTACAGTAATCAGCCAAAACACACTGGGGTCTTCTTAATGGAAAGATTGGATATGAGATCTTGTTTAGAACATAGTCCTGCATGCAAACCACAAAATAGTGCTAAACAAGGCTCCACAGTGTATACTTTGGCAGAAAATAGAGATCAAATTAAATAGGTAAGAGCAACTACAAATTGATAAAAGAAATGGTTTATTTTATTTTGTAGAGTAGCTTTCTGTGATTATATGTCTAATAAATTTAAATACTGAATGAGAATAAGATTATGATCAGAAATTTAACAAATATACATAATACTTAACACTAAATTATAATTTTCAAAATTACTAAAACACAAACTTCATAAGAGCTATATTTTCTATTTATGAAAATTATAAAAATTGGGACTTCTATTTCATCTTTTATGTATAAAAAACTATGCAGTAATATTTTACTTCCATATTTTGCATTGTAAGTATGTATACTTTGAATCTGTCAATTTCATCACCTCAATTATAATTGCTAAAAAAATGTTGAAGCTCAAAGGAGTGCTAAATATGTGCTAGACATTGTACTAAATGCTCAATGTGTATAATAACTTCATTTAATTCTCATAGCAAAGTGATATATACTGTTATTATTATTACTATTCTTACTGTAATGATGAGGAAACTGAAAAACAGAGAAGTAACATTCCCAAAATCTCTAGTGTGATTTTGAACCAGGTAATATGACCAAAGAGCCTATTCTCCGTATGTATACTGTAATGCATTGCAGCCTTACCAATATATTTCATTTGATACTTTCCCTTAAATAATTTGCATTTGTATATATGTATGTAACTAAAATTTAACAATGGAATTCATGATCAAACTAAACTTTTTAATTAGTATGACTCAATATTTATGTGTGATATATGTATTATACAATTGCAATTTAGTAATTATTTTGCCTGAGTAATTTTATTGCTTTACAAGCCAATACCATACCACACAGCACAAAATGGTCACCCTGTTTATTTCTTTTTTATTTTTCCTTTTTTATTTTATTTATTTATTTATTTGCAGTGCTAGGGGTTGAGCCCAGGGCTTTGCACCAGCTAGGCCAGTGCTGTACCATGAGTTATACCCCCAGCCCTCCCTACTTATTTTTAACCTCAGAAATCAAATGTAAAATAAAATTTCAGAAAAACTAATACACATCATACTATCCAGCTTCTCACATGTTTGGGGAAGGGTAAGAATAAAAGCCAGAAACAAAAATCATCAACAAATAAAACTCGAGTACATAATAAATTGTTGAAGCCAAAAATGATCCTGTTTTTCTAAACAAGAAAAGGGAAGGAGATAAAAATAGATCTTACACATGTAAAAGAATTACAAAAAAATGAACATAGATATACTGTATGAGACTAATTAGGTGAAGCATGCAGAAATAACTAGTAGTAAGCATTAGTAATAACCATAATTAAGAATATTCATATTAAATATAAGAGTGTTCTGTTATTTACATATAGTGGTACTTACATCCCTGTACAGCCAAATCTACAGCCCAAACCAAAGTCAGGTGTGAAAGAAAGCACAACAACATCAGTAAGTACTAGGACGTGGAACAAGGAAAAGTGTACAGTTTGTTCTTTATTTTAAAAACTAGCAATCACTTTATAGGCAATAACAAGCAAAAATGTTCACAGATATAAGCTGATAAAGTAAGCATAATATAAAAATATGTACTATCAAATACTTACATCTATATAGTTGGCATTAATGTAATCTGAAGAAGGATCATCTTCAACAGGTTGTAAAATTACTCTGGAGTGATCATCTAAAAATGTTTAAATGATAAAATAAAAGCTATAAATTTCTCCCCTGTTCGGAGACAATGTCACTGGTAGAGATTTAAAATAATTCAGTCTCATACTATAATCCACACTTACCAACCCTCTATAAAAATTTACTACTATCAAATCAGTAATCTGAGGAAATGCTAGAACTTTAATGAGCTTATTACTTATTACAATTATAATGTCCATGGCTTGCATCTCATAGTTAGGAAGTTTGTAGACAAACTTCCTTTGGCCCATGAACTTGTCTGACAACCTGCACTTGCCTAAACTTTGAATTTTGCTTTGTAGAGGCAAGATTAAAGTCCTTAAAGGCCTTTGCCTCTGCACTTTACAGCAACCTGAGCCATAAAACTGGACCGCGAATTTTCAACCTTGCTCTCATCTTTTTTCTCCAGAGTTAAGGTTAAATTTTGATGTATTTTAAATATTTTAAAATAATTTAAATTCAGAACAGAATAATTTAAGTAAAATCTGCAGCCAATTGCAAGTTAAACTGCCTACTAATTTCTTTAGTACTCCTGTGGTTTCCAATGGCAATAAATTTATTTTTCTCATGTATACATTGTGAAGACTTAATTAGGATGAAGTCCCAAATGATGACCATCTCCTGGCAACCAGGGTTCAGCTGTTGGCTCCAAGAAAGGAATAGAGGTACCTGGAATGAATAAACCTCCAACCTTGACTGTGTTTGGTCAGCATGTTATAGCAATTATAACTGAAAAGATCTTCACTATCCTGATTTTCTTAGCTGTTTAATAACATCCCCCTGCATTTATGTATAAACATGAAAGCAAACCACAAGTTATCTCCACATGGTGAAGAATCTGAAGCAATTTAATAAATGAGGATGACAACTGCAGTTATTGCTCATTGTCAATGCTATTTTAATATTAAATAGTAGTTTATAACAGATATGCCATGCTCTAGGACTCTCTAAGTTTAAAAACCACATAAGGAGCAACTGCAACTCACTATATATTGTTGTATACAAAATATTTATATTCACCAAGAATAATATGGGAACTTACATGCTATAATGTTTCCATATCGGTTTTTTGCTCTGTTTTGATCTTTTTTAGCTACATCCCAAGATGCTGATTGACCTTCAAAGAAGCTCTGGAAAAAAGAAAAAAAAATTAACAGGCAGATTGAATTTAATTCCATTAAAAAACAAAAACAAAAACAAGTTTGTGTGTTCAGAAGACAAAAATGGTTAAAAGCCACTTGCTCAAGGAGATAGGAATTTCTGCAGTAAACAAGCTTTAACTGGGACCTCAAAGCTGGTTTGTTGGCCTCATACTTGTTCATCTTGAATTAGACTGAGTTCAAATTAAAGACAAAAAGTAACCTTAAGAGGAATAAAAGGACCTTGAAAGTATTTCAAGTTTCAAATGGCTATAACTTTTGTGAAACGGCAGTAGAAAAAAACATCATTCTTTTCAAAACACACTGAATAATAATGCATCAAAAACTGCGAAAATTACTTTTAATGAGTATCTTTCCAATGTGTGTTCTTTAGCATTTATTGTAGGAAAAAAAATAAAACCTCTGCTTCCCTCTATAATTATTCATTAAATTGTGTGCAATACATCACATTTCATTTTCTTTGAAGATCATGAAAAGGACTGAGTCTCTACAACAAGGGACCATATGAAAATTAAAAAGAGTCCCCTTCTCCAAGAATCTAGGAACCGATGAATTTGTGGATTGATTTAATTACCATATGCAGCAATTTAAAATATGGGTAAAGATTTCTCTTTGCAGAAAACTGAAACTTTGCTTCAACACAGGAAATGAGGTCTTTAAAGAGCCAATAGTCTTTGAAGCAAAATACACAGGAATACACATGAAATGAACAAAAGAACCAGCTCTGGCAGGGTATTCTAATTCGCTGCATTTATTTTGTTTCTATGACATAGTGCCCCAACATAAATATCTGAAGCCAGTATTCAAAATCAAAGGTAATTTTATTCACTCCCAAAATAAGGTATGAGAGTAGTTTATAGATCAAAAATGGAGGTTACAAGATTTTTCATGAAAATGGATGTCTTTTGGATGCTCTTTCAAAGTAAAGTATTGCTTGGTCTCTTTCACTCTAAATGTGTGTGCTCTGTGGTGTGGGTGTAGTGGTATGGACATACTTTCATGCTTCAGGCTGACATTTCTCAGTATGTGTCAAACAGCTAAAGTACCTTTCCCTCTTTGCTGCATTATGTTTACCAGAATGTTCAGTTTAAATCACTTCCTAAGATAAATCCTGGTATTTGGGTATGACTGGGAAGGGCAAATAGGTTAGAAGAAGAATTTCCCACATCCTTCTTCTTTCTGGCTACTTAATGGTGTTTATTGGATTTTCAATATTCTCTTATCCTTGCCACTCTCAACCAACAGTTTATGAAATTAACCTGAGAGTGGCAAATACTACAATGGAAGCACAAACCTTCTTCTTCTCAATGACAGACTTAATAAGCAAAGAGGTAGAGAAATGCCCAGTAGTTAAGTCATTCAAACAGAATCTGTAATGTACAATGGCACTCTGGGTATACTAGATTTTTGAATGGGCAAATATAAGGAAAGTCTAACAGAGTGTTTTTATTGACACAGTAAGTTATGGAATCAAAAATATTCTTAAATATTTTAAATTTAAATATTTAAATATCTTAAATATTCTTACAATTAATGAGGAGCCAGATCTATCCTTGGGAAATACACCTCTGTCCCTGTTTGCTGTATATACACTTGACTGTACATATAAACATTGGATTAGAGAGGTCACAGAGCATTCCATTCTTGTTATGCTCAAAGGAGGAAAAAAACATTAAATTCCACCATCATGGTTAAAAATAAAGTTTAATGTAGTACTGAAGCTTTCACCTCATATTCCTCTTTGAACCCATAGCTGTCTGACGTCTTCATGAGGTTAATGTGTTGCAGAAGGTCGGCTACCCTGATGGCTGGGTGCAGCTGTCCTGTCTGATAAGGGGATTCTGTCCCCTCACAGAGGTAGCGAGGTACATCTAGAAGGCGACTGGATTCTGCTGTAGCAGCGCTGTGGTTCTCATCTGGCATTTTTCACATTCCAGAAGATTAAAAAAGAGATAAAGTTATCTTGTTTAATATACATCAATGCAGAGAAGATTTTAAGACCTTAAGACCTTTCTGATAACAGAAGGAAAAGAGAGAACTACCAGCTAATAGGAGCCAAGGACAGGGTCCTCATAAAGAAAGACAAAGCCTTCACTTTCCACTACAGCTCAAGGGTGGAGGTCAGAGGATATGACATGTATATCAACAAGATGCAGAGAGACATCTGACCTCTGTGACTTTTGGTTTTTGTTTTTGATTCGGTGGTGGATCAAACCCAGGGTCTCAAGCATGCTAGGCAAATCCTCTACCATTGAGCTATATCCCTAACCCTCTGATTCATGGCTCTCCTCCCCTTTCTTGTGATATTGGGGGTTGAAGTCAGAGAAACACTACTACTGAGCTATATCCCTAGTACTTTCTGTTTTTTATTTTGAGACAGGGTCTCATTAAGTTGTTTAGGCTGACCTCAAATGTATGATATTCCTGCCTCAGCCTCCTGAATAGCTGGGATTACAAGAGTGTACCACTGTGCCCAGCTCTGCTCCAGTTTCACTAAGCTTGGAGGAGAGCTCTAGCTGAGTTCTTACTGTTTCTTGCATTGCAGTCATAGCAGTATAGGTTGGGACCAGAGGATCAAACTGTCAACTGGAAAAATGTTTTCATTGTTGAGTAAGTGAACAAACCCTTTCCCATGCATATCTCAACCTCCCTCAGAAAACCAGTCTAAGCAAACCATCTCCCACAGGACTGATCTTCTCTCCTTTGTGGCCCTCTTGTTGACTGGGGCTTTTTAACACAACACACCCAGGAATGGGAAATGTGGGCATTCTATAGGATCACCCCCTTCCACCACCCAGCCTATGAGTCAGGTTACATGTGTATTTATATTCAACCTCTGCCCCCTTAGTTTCTTCTTACTGTTATTTGATTGCTCACATATTTTGACTCTTCAGGCCACCATGTGAGAGAAAACAGAGTATGCTTCTGGAGCAAAATGTGTGTGCCTCCCCTGGACTTCTTCTCCTGCCTTTCTAGGCTAAGTTATGAAACTACTTATTTTTCCATGACCTCCTGCTTTTTAATATCTATTTACATCTCTATTTTCTTTTCTAAGCCCCAAATGCTTAGAGTGTAGAGACAGAGTCAGAATTTTGTTCTTATTCCGAGTGTATTGCAGTCTTTCAATAAATATTTCAATAAAATATTGGTTAAAATCAATTGAATCCCTCACCACCCACATTTAAGTGTAGGCCCCATCCCAATTGTGTTATTAGCTCAAAACAAAAATTAACTTTAAATTCTCATTCTGTCATAAGGAGGAAGAAAAGAACAAGAACATTTTGCCTATGAAGAATAAACAGCATTTTAATGACCGAAGTACTAATCATTACAATGAGAAAAAAGCATGCTTATATTTATCACATTTAAACTTACCACTTAAAAAAAAAAGACAAATGTTTTAAGGGGTGTTACTTTGAAAAGCATTATACTGTCATACTCATTAACAGAAAAGAAAGTACACTCTTAGGGGAACTTCTGTTTTTAATGATAATGCATATTGTAGAGAACGATATTTAATTAACAGTTAAAACATATTTCAAGTGCTGGTACATTTGCCTGTTCTATCACCAACTCTACAAATAGGATATGGCAAAAAATGAATTGTTGTCCCCATGATAAACATTTTTTCTTCCTGGAGAAGGAAAAAAAAAAAGAACCCTACAATCAGATTTGTGTTCCTCTATAATTTAGCTTGATTGCATTTATCTTTACTTTCTCTTATTTAAGCTGAATGTATTTTTTTTTTGCATTTACTCTTAAAAATACCACATTCAATTAAAAAAAAAAACTCTGGTGGATTGTGTTGTGATCTAACCCCCAAGTGAATTAATGTCCTCTACTTGGGTCTTACCCACCCCTCTACACACAAACTTTTGCTGACAAACATGATTCATAAGCATTAACCCCTTCTTAGTATAAGACTATGGTCAACTAATCTACTTTTACTAAAACATTACAACCAATAGACTGACATAAATATATATACATTCACATGTGTATATGTGTGTATATACATATATGTATGCATGTATATGTGTGTGTGTGTGTGTGTGTGTGTATATATATATATATATATATATATATATAAATAACTTTACTGGAGATATATATATCGCCAGTAAAATTAAATTCAGAAGTAACTGAGCTGAGTTAGGCACTATCACAAAATATATGATTGAAGGTGAGAAATAAAGACAACAAATAACCTTAGGGAGCCCAATGCAACCACCCAAGCAGGCAGTTGGGGTTCTACAGAGCAGCCCTAGAGCTCACATTGCATTTGCTGAAGGTGCAGAATGTTTACAGTTGTAGAGGCTCAGTGAGAAACACAGAAGTCACCCATACTACAAATCTTACAGATGATTGTTCCCCAGTATGAAATAGACAGTGCCTTTGTGTTGCATTAAGTTTTAATACAGTAGTACAATAAGCAGTAAGGTCTTCAAACTAATCACATATGAATTATGAATCTCAATACATTTCCACCTCATTAAACCACCTAATAATGTGACTGCTAGTGAAGGTACATGTTACTAATCATTATCCTTATTACACATTTAAGAATAATCACTTTAACTATATCCTTGATTGAAAGGTTTTCTAGTGTTCTGGTATTGCAATACACTTACCAGTTATAGGGACTTAAACCCAATGAAGCAGTAAAACACACACACACACACACAAACACAAAAAATATGAATCAATATGAAAAGTTTCTGAGTCATTTTAAATCAGTAATAAATATTAATATTAAGCAATATTTGAGGTGATTTCAAAAATTGCTTTATAAATACAAAATCAATTAGATGCAAAACAGCATAATCCTAAGAATGATGAAAAATGCAATAAATTATTTCTACATATAACATGATTAATGAGGGATTTAGCTTTTAATCCATTTTTTAAAATCAACCAGCTTGACTTTTAAAATGAAAAAAAAATGCATAATGAGTGTTTGTATAAATAGTTCATATGACTATTGTCTTAACTCTAGAATACCCCCCTTTTCAAAAAGAACATTATTACAATAATTGTTTAAACTTCATAGTTTGTAAAAGTCTCACTTATTATCTCACTTTCTCTTTATAAAACTCTGTAGAAAATTTATAGGAATTTATAGGAATTATTACACTGTTTTGAAGATGGGAAAGAAAAAATGTATGGAATTTTTAATGAAATTTTAGTCTAAACCCAAAAGGGGGAGCTGAGATTTGGAACTAATTTTCTATACTCTTAAAACATTACTCTAATGAAATTTTAAAATTTAGGCAACTAATTTTTTTCAATGAGTTCTTTAATATTTTAATTGACTATTATTTATTCACTTGATACTGACAACATTCTAAGTGTTAAACAGAAGATGACATTTGCAGATGCATCTGGTATCTCCCCACAATGATCATACATAGCTTTTCCCTAACGCAATGAGACCACTCTGGCAGACAAGTTCTCCCAGTTCACTTCCTCCCATTTTTTTATGATTTCACAGAAAGAGTGTAGTAGGAAATAGGCAGTTTCTCTTAAAGTATATATATTTTACTTCAACTACAAAATTAAAACTTAAAATAATTAGAGAATCAAAAGTCCATTCTTAACTGAATTAGTTATATTGTTTGAAAATATTTTATAATGTAATTAAACATTGAATATAGGAGAGCAAATACATGGATAAATTATAAGCTTAAGTTTGTATCTTCACAGGTAATGTTAAATAAAAATAAAAGTATGATGTAGGAATTATATATTTATCTAAAAATTTCCACATTTCTTTGGTTAAATCTTAATTAGAAACATTAGGGTAAAATTGATATGAAACTGGTGAGCATACAGCAAGTTGGCCACAAATCATTGGTGTGTAATTAGTTGAGAAATGGAGTACAATTTGAAATGAAATGAAACTCATTTCATTATGAAATATATAGCTGTATTTAAAAGTTGAATTTAACATCTAAATGGCCTGAATTATCACTAGCAATACCATCTGTCTTAGATATTATATAGAGGTAAACAATGTGGCTTATTTAAAATTTTTGAAAGACAGCACTATTTACCATATAAGGTTTATATACAATGCCAAACCCCATATCAGGACTATAGCAATTTTATCTGAATCTGTAAATTCTTGGTAAAGATAAACTAAAAGCAAATGCACATGATCCTAACTCTACTTAAAAAAATGTATTCTACTGTTTTTATGAAATTCATGAGATTTAGGAAGTCCTTTTCCATCAGGTAGACTTTCATATAAAATCTAGTTTTTCCATTATAACTTTTCCCTGAGATCTAATGCCTTTGGGTTCATTCTACTAACTTGGATATATTAGCATTAGTCATACATTAGGGGCTACAGAACTTTTGTCCCAAATCTAAAAGAACCATTAGTTAAAAAATAAATTAAACTTTAAACAGTATACCTTGCTAATTTGAAATCCACTAGATCTGATTATGTTGAACAGAGACACTCTCTCTAATGAGATCCGAGCTCTCTATTTTAAGTATCAAGATATGTTCAGAACTGCAAATAATTTACTTTATGGATAAAGCTGCAACCCATGCAAGGAGTTGTGATCCATGCAAAAAATAAAATAAAAAGTAATGGGTAAAGATTTAGGGCCTCACCTAACACAGCAGTCGGCACAAGTGGATCATTGGGCACTGTAGGAAAACAAAGCTCATGAAGGAATAGATTGTTCTAAAATTATATTTTGAACTCTTCTTTCTTTACAACAAATGTATGCATTCTTAAGAAATATAATGACTAAACTTTCTTCTATAACTGTACCTACAAGGGTTAAATTCTCTCTTCCAGCTTGAGTTCTTACAAAACATCAACAAAGGTGTATCTATAATTATAGTTCAGTACTCTGTTCAACTTAAAAAGCCAGAAGATTCAACTTGACATTATAAAGATTATAAAGTTAGAGCAAAAGAAACCATACAGTTTGGAGCTAACAAGTATTAGAAAAATAATTATCTCATATTCATTCCATATAATGTTTTTCAGTTTAACTGTGGGAAGTAGATTTAATCCTTTCTCTAAGTTCATAAGTGCATATTTATAGTTATGCTGCTAATTGAAACTTTATAATAAGGTTCTAACACAGGCAATAGAAAAGTTTGAGGAACAGAAACGCTTTCAAACCTATAATTGATTAAATATTAAATCAGGTACTTAGAGAGATGGTACATTTATATTTTCAGCAAAACTTACTTTCAACATTAATAGTATTTTATGTACTTCTCTGTCATTTTTATTGTGTTGAAATAAAAATAAAATAGATCAAGAAGGCCCCATCATGATTAAAACTAAATTCCAAAATGACTCATATAGCATTTGTAATTTCTAATTTGGTGTAGATATATATATCAAGAAAAATGATAGGATGCATTTAGCCCAAGGATTATCGAAAAATTTCACCAGAAAAAATTTCCCCTCTCTGAAACAACATATAAGCATTCAGCCTACAAACACTTAACTTTCAACCTTACCACTACAATATATTTGTAATCTGTATAGGAAATAATCATTCTATTGTTTATCTTTTTTCTTACATCCATATTTTTCAGACCAGAACAGCATATCTCTAAAAACTGTGACAAAAATGCCTCTAGGTACAAATGGCCAATGACAAACCTGATTTATCTACATCAAGTATCAATTTGCAGAAACAAATTCAGGTAAGTTAATTTAATTAGCTTAAAACAAGCACAGGTACTATAGAAGAAAATATAAAATTTGAAGATAAATAGTATTACCAAGACTGAGATAATTATTCAAGTCATCTGCCATTAAATAGTACTTTGGTAGAAGTAGTTCAAAAACCCTGCCTTCATAGATTAGTATTAGTAACTCTTAAGATGGATGGTTGGATTGGTGGATTTCACCATTCCTTTTGCATCCTTCAATTCAAACATACTTTTAGACTTCACACCATATATTTAAAAGCATATAGGTTTCTCTTTCCCCTAGTTAAATTTCTTAGTATTAATATTCCCTAGGACTCCATAGTAGACTATTTTAATGGAATAAGTTTGCCAATACCATTAATTCCCCAAAAGAATTACTGTTTCTTCATATGACAAAAGAAACTTTATCTTACAAAAAGGGAGATGCAAATGCTGAAATAATTATAAATTCTGACATGAACCAATTTTATGTAGGCAATCTCATATCTAAATTAAATGAGTAACAAATGACATGGTCTGAGTGGTATATATTTAGAATATATCTTATGATTGAATAATAAATTTCATGCAGTTTAAGGTGAAATGAAGTACAGTAGAAAGTCTAAACAGAGGACTTCTTGTAAATCCCATAATATTATCTCCTTTTTTTTTTTTTGCTTTCTAGATACTTCTTCCCTTTCTTACTCTCTCATTATTTAAAAGTTAACATATAGAACTCAAAATAAACTTAAGAAGCTTCAGAATCACTTATTAATATTTCAGTGAAGAACTTACATCTTGGACTAAAATTATGTTGGTCCATGAAGGTGATGGAAAGAGGATCTTCTGCATGCAGAGTGCTCTGGTCAGCATAGCTTCGGTCCATAGCATTCACCATGTGAGTCATCTCTTGCCGAGTGTTGCCCATTGCATCTTTGCGCTTTTTAGCCAGCTTGCTGCCAAGGCAAATACAAAAGGGAGCCCTGAGTGTGAGTCTTGAAGAAGAGCTGACACCAGAAACAAGTAGTTCAAGTGTGACCGAGGACAAGGTAACAGATGTCTTTTAGAAAACCTAAGAACTGGTAACTTCTGGAATTCAGTTGACATTCAAGCCATTATATTGATTTGTTGCTGTAGAACTATTTGATTTGTCAGATATTTTAATATTCAAGCTGTCAAATCCAAAATTATCATCATTTCCTGTATTTCATTCTATTAACTTTCATTAAAAAATATAACTACATTTTACCAAAAATATAAACAAACACTTGTTAAGTAGAGGAGGTCAAGGAAGATTTAAAGCTAAGTTTTGGTCTTTCTCCTAAGTGATAGATTCCTTTGATCAACTTTCAGAGGTTCTTCTTAGGAATAACATGACTTAAGTTTGTTTTATCATAGCCACTTAATTAAGATAAAGAAAAGTCCCATTCTTAATTCTCTCTGCTGTTACTAGTAAAAATGCAACATGAGTAGAATTAATCTCTTCACTAATATATTTGTAATATTAATCAAAACCTAATCTTTAGTCTTTTAGAATCAACCATGATTCAAGTACAAATAAATATA